ATGGTCTCCTCTACCTCTGCCCCCATCTCCAGTGGAACACACAATTTCCCCTGCAACCTATGTTCCCCACTTACCGCTTTATCTCAGTCTTCAAATCCAGCAGGCTTTCCCTGTAAACCCTCCAACTAACTTTGCCAGAGAAGCTAGTAGGCCAGGAGAGCAGGTAGGCAAGCTTCAGATCTTCACTCCCCTCCTCTCCTACAAATCCAACCCCCCCAATCTCATGCCCAGTTTTGTAACAGACTACCTGCTGTGGCTTCTCCTCACTATCTGCCCCCATTTCTAGGGGAATAAGAATATCCTGATGGAATACTATGCATTCTTCCCTCCTGTGGACTGCCTTAGGTTCCTCTCAATTCATTCCTATTTCTAACGTACAGTTCCCATTATCTAGAAACAACATTTACCTTGAACCCCCAGTGGCAACACCTAGCTAGTAGAATCCCAGAATTCCCTGCCAGGCAATACAGGGCCACACACAATGCACTCCTAAGAACCATAAAGAGCAGCAGAACCCTAGGAACAAAACATACACCCACCAAAGACAAGATATCAACACCTAGAATTTCAATTACCCCAAACACATGTGCTTAGATTCCAGTGTAAAAACCGGTAACAATCAGGAAAATACATCTCCACAAGAGCACAGCAACCCTACCACGGTAGGCACTAAGAACTGCAACATAGCTGAAGCCCAAGACAAATACCTTAAAATATTTGATTACGATAAAGATCCTTTTTGGAAGAAATGACTAAAACCCTTAAAGAATTCTATGAAAACACACACAATGGAAGGAAATGAAGGAAACACTTCAAAACCTAAAAGTGAAAAGAGGATCAATAAAGAAAACCCAAACTGAGGTAAATATGGAAATAAAATACTTAGGAATCCAAACAGGAATCTCAGAGGCAAACCTGACCAACAGAATACAAGAGGTGTGACAGAAGAGGTACAATTGAAGAAATGGCTACCCCAGTCAAAGAAAACAAAATTAATGATATGAGACACTATGAAAAGACCAAATCTAAGAATAATAGGAATAGAGGTAAGAGAAGAAATTCAAACAGCCAGGCAGTAGTGGTGCATGCCTTTGATCCCAGTACTCAGGAGGCAGAGGCAGGTGGATCTCTGTGAGCACCAAGCCAGGACAGCTAGGGTAGTTACACAGAGAAACCCTGAGAGGGAGAGAGGGAGGGAGGGAGGAAGGGAAGGAGATGAATTACTAGTAAATATGTTGAAAAAATGCTTAAGACTTCAAAATCTCAGTAAATTGCAAATTAAAATCACAATGTGATATGACCTATCATCTGGAAGAAAGATACTATATCAAAAGACAAAAATCCTTCTTTCCAAGGATTTGGAGAAAAGGGAAACATTATATGATACTGGTGAAAATAAAAGCTGTCATAGTCATTATGGAAAACTATGTAGTACTGCTTTATAAAACTAAAAATAAAATTGCCATATGGTTCAGCACTCCCTCTTCTAGATACAGACTAGAAGAATTTGAAATTAGTATGTTGAAGAATTAAATGCTTCTGATGTTCACTGCAACATTATTCATTATAGCTGTGTTAAAAATAAAACTAAAATATCTATTAACAGATAATAGATAAGGAAAATGTATATATTCACAATGGAATGGAATCCTATATCTTTAAAAAAATTCTGCTACTTGCAACAACATGAATGAACCTGGAGAACATTGTACTAAATGGAAGACAGAAAAAGAAATACTCCACTATTCTATTAAAGTGCAGAATCTACAACGCATCTTATACAAGCAGAGGATAGAATGGTGGCTACCAAAATGGGGTGGGGTAGTGGGGAGACACTGATTA